CGACAGTGCACTTTTACTTTCGCCCTCTGGGGGGAGCCTCGCTGGAAAATCAACACCGGTTGCATAGTATACCTTTAAGTGGATGATGCCGTCGTTTTTGGAGTGTTTGTTGTATTTCTCGTTTGAAAAAGTCATGTGCTGAAATACATTTATGTTGATGGAAAAAAAAAGCAACTTAAACCTTTTTAAAGGCTAATGAACAGACACAGTATAAAAGTATATGCCATCATTCATCCATAATTTATAAATAGGAAAAAACTAGCATTGACAGACATGTTCTTGTCATTCAGTCTTGATGTTACATGTACATCATCAACTTAGCACATTTGGCACATCAGTATTTTTCTGCTCCATTAACACAATTTTATTGTGATGGATTTGTATAATATGTCATATTTCATGATTTATAGACTTCATAATGACTATGCAATTTGATGTACCTATTTCTTTTATTATAAGTTAAAGTGATCTACCGATGCTATGAAACAGCCAGTGTGTGTCAAAGTGATGAATTTATCTTTATTTTAATAGTTAATCCCCCTGAAAATGAGATCGTATTGTTTACATTGCGACCGGTCTAACTAGGGAGTACCAATATGGCGGCCGGTGGCTTCACTTCAGCAATCCAGTGAATAAATATGAATAAATAGAGATCGGTGAATAATTACCGTGGCGACAACCCAGAAATGTGACTGATCTAGAGAAGATGTGTGTGGAGGAGTGGGCCAAAATCCCTCCTGCAGTGTGCAAACCTGGTAAAACCTACAGGAAACCTAGTTGCAAAAAAAGGTAACTGGACCAACATTAACATTGATTTTCTTTTTTTTTTAAGATTATGTCTCCCACAATGGACATGCACCTACGATGAGAATTCCAGACCCCGCAATCATTTCTAAGTGGGAGAACTTGCAAAATAGCAGGATGGTCAAATACTTATTTCCCTCACTGTAACATTTCATGCCAACAGAAGAAGAGAAAGCTCTACAAAGCAGCACATCACTAACCTGACTCCGCCAGATGGATTTGCTCCGTATATCCATCTAGAAACCTTCCGTTGAAGTAATTTTAGGAAGGGGCGAAAATACTGGTTAGCTGATTGGCCTATGTTGGTGATAGACGGGCCAAATAAACCAATCAGATCAACGAAGCATATGAC